TGTGGCCGGCAGCTCAGAGTCCACATGCAAAAAGGGGTTTAGGGGTTTAGGTGTTTAGGGGTTTAGGGTTTAGGGTTTAGGGGTTTAGGGTTCCCCATGATGGTACTCATAAACTTCCCTATAAAGGTTCCTATAAACAATACTGCTTTATGGTCCCTATAAAATCCACTCTGATGGTGACCATAAAGCTCTCTACAACAGTCCTCGTAAAGCCCCACAAGAATCCTGACATGTACTCCGCCATTCGTATGCGCCAGCAAGTAGCTCCATGCGCCCTAGCTATCATCACAGTTTCCATGTCACTTTCCATTTTAATGTCCATGTGGTTCTAGAGCCCTAACCTTGGTAACATGGTGGTCTGCATTTTCTTTTTCATACCCTAGAATCCTAGAATCCCTGCATAGCTTTTTTGACTGCTGACCTGGATACGTGCTTGAATTGTTTCAGCACTGCTCTTAAAAGAGTCGGTTTTTCAGATCTCTTCAGGTTGGAATTTCTACAACTTCTTTGAGGTTGGCAGGATCCGGCTCGCGGACTCTGCTGGTGTTGCGAGGCATTGCAGTTCGCAAGTTAAGCTTGTTGTAGCTTCTTCAGGTTGTGCACCTGTCGTGTTTGTTTGGACAGGTGGTCAAAGCCGTTTGAGGAGTTCCAGTTAATCCAGCCGATTCAGACTGTGGAGTATGTGACGAAACCTGGTGGTCTCACGTGCCGCGGCGTGTGTTATAGCACATGTAGATGAAGAAGTCTGCACGCTCGAGACATCCCTGACAGGCTGTTCAGCGGGATACGCTCTAACCTTTCGGAAGGTGCCGCGCCCAGATTAAGTCATCAGTTCAACAGCACGTCCGCTTCAATTCGCATGGAAAGTTTTGTGTTCAACATCACATGCCCCGCTCCAGCAGCATCAAATGTTATGTCGTCAAAATTGCCTTTTGATTTTGTGCCACCTTCGGCTTAGGGTATCCCACATGGGATCAGTATGCAGAAAAGCTTCCAGATAGTCCTCGTTTCCATAATGCCCAAAAGACTCGCACATCTTTTGAGCAAACAGCAGTTCTTACCGGATGTTTAGTCGGGAATGAGGGGATATAACCCATATATAATCACCACAAAATTGATTCCTTCATTCCCTACTAAGCACCAGTAAGACTTGACCAGGAATGCATCCCTATGACAGCATTCCATGGCGGCGAAAGTCGGCACTAAAGTTCCTCTCCTTCGACAACTCAGCGAATCATCAGAGTTTAGGCGGTGCCTGCATCGCAATGATCAGTTCAGGGTTTAGGGTTAAGGGTGGCTACCAGCAGTTTTGGAGGAACTTCTGCGATTATCATTGTTAGTTTCTTTCTTGCAAGAAACTTGCGGTTTCTTTTCGTTTACTGTTCTACGTGACCGTCGCTATCAAGATTATGGGCATGCACAGCGCTACCATCCTTCTTCGTTGAGTGCTTGTACTGGCATGGAGCATGGCTGGTCATACCATCTTTGTTTTAGGATTGCTCACTCAGTGACCCGGAGCAGAGCTCGCTAGGTGGCAAGTGGGGATTGCCGGGATGAATCTTCAGACTGCCATAATTCGCCGTCAGTCACCCGTAAGCCATAGCCCTAAATGCAAAGAAGGCGCAGCCTGTAAGCGATGCAGCCTTTAACCCTGAACTTGTTTGGGATTTGGGGTTTAGAGGCTACGGTAGAGTTTAGGGCCCAGGTCTTATAGTGCCCCTTAAGCAGATAGAAAATCGTTTTGGGCATATTATAATACGATTGCCGTATACCCCATATTCTATCTACTTAAGGGGGCTACATCCTATGTCCCAAGCCCTAAGCTGCAAACCGATCTTGATGCTCAAGTTGAGATGGATTTTGACACGCTTCAGTCTGGTTAGCAAGGAATGTAGCAAGGAATGGACCCTTATAGCAGTCCCTATGTAATCCCAAAGTGTTTTTGTAGTTTCCATTTGCTCTTCCATTGCTGAAACCTTAAACCTTGAATAGTAGTTATTTTCTTTTCCATGCCTTCATTCCCTGCTAACCAGCGGCAAGCAGGTCTGCACATCACTGATCAGGTCCTCTGGTCACCTTGGAACGGCTTTGGAATCTTCACCGGGAGCACACGGCCAGGGGCAGAAGGGGCTTGGATGTCCCTCTGCTGCAGCTTTCTTCCACCTACTAGCCCCCCCCCAACAGCTCCAACAAGCTAAGAGCAACAACGTAAGCATGTAGGGGTTATATAGGGGTTAAATAGAGGTTATGCAGGGTTATGTAGTGGGCATAGGGCCCAATAATAGAGAATCAAATGAAAAAGAACATGGAAAATCAAATTGAAACTGGGATTATATAGGGGTTTATAAGGACTTGATCCTGATTGGAAAATCAAAGGGCTGTGACAACTCTACCGTCCTTGCCCCGTTCCAGAGAGATCATGCTTTCAGGACTCCTGTGCAAACAACTTCACCGACGAAGCGGCAATCAACGGCCCAAACACAGAAGACCCTTGCCTCGCAGTTTTGTATTGTAGGGGTTATTTTTTTAAATAGTATATAGTAGTAGTATATTTAGGTATATTATGGTATATTATAGCATATTATGGTATATTACGGTATATTATGGTGTTATATTGAGGATAGATTGAGGTTATATTGGGATAATGGAAAAGAAAATGGAAACTACTATTTAGGGCTTGGGGTTTAAGTCAGATGCAGGTGCATATGAAAACCTCTTGTCTACTAGGGTTGATGGACAAAATCCTGCATGACCTCAAATGCCTAAAAACTAGGAACTATGACATTTTGTTTGGGGTCATGCAGGTTTATGTTGATCAAAAGCGGGGGTCCGGAACACAGACGCCGGGAAATGCAAGACACTTTTTAGTGCTAGGGCGGGACAACACCCAAATGATAACCAGGTAATGTCTTTTAGCCACTTATAGTTACCATGCCAGGAAAAACCAGTGTTTCGTAACGATACCTGCCTAGCCCCTAAACCCTAAACCTCCACTTCATCGCACTTTCGGTCCCTTTGTCCATCTTAATTTCCATTTGATTTCCTCGTGTTATTGGGACTGCAAGAGTCTAGCTCACAGGTAAACCCTAAACTTCGAAATCTACAATCTTCCAGACTCCAGAACTCTAAGCTGGGCAATGAAATAGAAGCCTTTAAGGTCTAGGTTCGAGGGTTCTAGGGATTACTTGGAGGGTCAGGGGATTTAATGAGCAGGGTAATAACCCTTCATTTCAAATAGTAACCCTAGTTATCTCCATATTAACCCACTTACTAAGTCCCTGACCCTCCAAGTAGGGTTTAAGGTCTGGGGTTGAGAGTTTGGTGTTGAGGGCAGTTCCCGGCCTACCATCGAGGAGAGAGCCTGGGTTGAAAAAAGGGTTTAGGGTTTAGGGTTTAGGTAGGGTTTAGGAAAAAGGGTTTAGTTAGGGATTAGGGTTTGGGGTTTAGGGTTTAGGTAGGGATTAGGGCTTGGAGTCTACATTAAACCCTGATTCCCAAAAAATCCTGATCTACAAATGGTAGGTTCCCTGAATAAGGGGACCCCAACATAGTTCCCAAAAAGCTAGAGTCCTCATTATCGGGACCTTCAAAAAGGTACTGAACAATTTGGGGCAATCTTTGAATCCCAACCCTCAAAGCCTAACCGCAGCTCAGGAAAATGCCAGGCAGTTTATGGCATGGGTTGGCCCCGACGCCTCACAGTACTTGCCCTTCACAGGCAGGGTGTCAAGTTTAGGATCTATCCGGGCTTAATGTAGTTTTGGGTATTAAGGTTTTAGACCGCAGATTTACGGGTTGAAGCCTCTCGGGCCGAAGGGAATAGGATTTCAGGGCTGCGGGTTTGCCATGTCCTTTGCATCATCCTTTGCATCACGGATTGCAGCCCTGAGGCATGGAAAATGACCAGACCTTCTTCTTCATGCAAGCTGGTACATATGCAGTCTGCTATTGCTACCCGCCTTTTGCAGATTGTTTGTGCCCCAACCAAGGCTGAGATCCGACATGCAACTTGCTAAGTTGCTAAGGTGCTCTTTTGGACGCGGACGACAACTGCGCAGACAAGACTGATTACATATGGGCTGCCATGATCATGCTCCCTGCCAGAAATGCTATGTGCGTTGGATTTGGGGGTTTCCCACAATTTGGGGCCCCTTTCCGGGAGTCCTCACTATCAGGATCTTAGTGTCCCATGGCATTTAAGAGGAGTCCTCCTTTTTTTTTTTTTTTGAATATTTGGTGTTTGACAGCGCTTTCTTGTTGTGCCCTAATCCCTGAGCCCTACACTTTTTTTTGCTGTTGCTGCTTCCAGGGTGAAGGGCACGCGTTCTGGCCAAGTTGTGCAACTTTGCTGCAAGAGTGCCTTGCTGGTTCTTGTAGGGAAGAACGGAGTTTATTCCCTAGATACCATATTCCCCGATTCCCTACTAACCGTAAACCCTAACGTATAATGTATTCCCTTATTCCCTACCAAGAACTGGTAAGGTGCAAAGGCGGGGAGTTGCCGTGACTAGATGATCGGGGGTAATACAGGTTGTATAGGGTGATATAGGGATGATGTAGGGAACATTCTATAAAGGGATTATATAGGGGGATCATGTGGAAACGAAGTCAGGGGTTACATAGAGTAGAAGTTGAGAAACAGCCAAAGAGCCCCTGCAAAGTTTGCCATGGGCCTGATTCGACATGCCTCTAGCCCTCATGAAAGCTCTCAATTGGAAATTGCCCTCCTGAACTTGTTCTGTTCAGAGGCCAGCTTTCACGCTAAGATGCTGTAGCACGTGAGGCAGCTTCCAACCAACACTATCGTCCGCATTGACTTGGACGGTTGGGGCTTCACAACGGAGGACTGCACGTTTCATTTTGATTGAAGAATATGTCGCGCTGGTCTATAGCCCTGATCCCCTGAACGCAGCCTACACACCAAATCTCCAACACTAAAAAACCTAAGCCTGGGGCCACCGACCCTGGCTGGGATTGTTGAGCGCGCTTGTTGCCTGTAGCAAGTAGGGTGTGAAGGATGATCAGGGGAGGACCTTCCCAACCATTCAGGCTTCTGGTAATGGAGTCTGTCCAAATTTGTGGTCTCGTTTTAGTTCCTCCCACTGATTGGAGATTGGAGCAAGTTCAATTTTTGAAGCTACTCAAATGCAGGATTCACTTCGGCTGATTACCATGACGCAGTCGTGCTCGGAGAATGCCAACAATCCGGGAGGCAGCAGAATGCAAAGGCAGTTCATGATTTCGACATGCCCGTCATCTTATCCGATCCTCCCGCATTCTGCCTAAAATTTCTCGCGCGCATCCGAATTTCCTAGGGGCCTATTTGGTGCCTAACCCTAAACTATCCCTGCTGCCAGGTGTTCTGGATACATACCGCCTTGGATGTCCTGGCGTTGATGGCACCTTATTTGTGGTGCTTAACGGAAGTGTGTATGATTATAGGGAGCTATACTGATGAATGGGGGTGGCATTGTAAGGGTTTACGTGAGGGATGAATGGCGGCTGCTTGAGGTGTCTTAGGGCTTAATATTACCCTAATATAGCCCCTATATGGTCCAATTAGAATGTAGTAGTTTCCATCTTATTTTCCGTCATCCTTGTATAACCCCAATATTTCCCCAACATAACCCCTAGAGAGCCCCTATAAACCCTGCAGTTTCCATTTTCTTTTCCATTATCCCTATATAACCCCAAAATATATCCTATTATAACCCCTATATAGCCCCTATAAAACCCTGTAGTTTCCATTTTCTTTTCCATTTTCCCAATATTACCCCAACATAACCCCTAGATAGCCCCTGAAGTGGCAGTGAGGTGTGGGCTGCCGATTTCCCAGAGGAGATGAGAATATCCAGGTGCTGCTTATCTCTTCGGAGACCACAGGCTTCTATGTAGAAGCTGGGTCCTTGTTCAATGCCTTACTGTCATATGTAGTATCAGGACTATCGTCATTATTGCAACTATTGCTATGGGTAATATTTCTTTTGTAAACTTTTGAGTTCATGTAGACTCCAGCCCTGCAAGGAATACACTGCAGGAAAACGAGACAGACAATCATTTTTTGATGGCCCCCCCTAGACACCAAGGAAAGCGTTGTGCTGGAAGAAACCAGGACAATCCTCGTTTTTACCGGGGATGTGACTTCTGAGCTTTTGGATGGCGATGCCATCACTCTGGACGAGGCTACAATTCTCGTGAATGGTCGCGGGCAAGATGTGTGGACGGCAACTGAGAGGTCACTGGGTTAGGCCCCCACCCACTAATAGTGGTACACTAGAAATGTATAGAGGCCCTAATATGATTACCATTCTCTCTTGTGGTCACTACTAGTGGGTGTGGGCCCAACCCAAGAGGTACATGGTTTCTAAACTGTCCGGCTTCTACAGCTTTGCTGATGAGCCTGACCAGCAGCGCATGCTGTGGAAGCGCATCTCCTTTGTTTCCGCCGACTCTGGCCAGGGCAACGAAACGAACAAGCTACTGGGTTGCTGTTGAGGAACTTTATTTAAGTTACTATATTGGGGGAACCATATTATCTAACTATATATATATGTATACGTACACACAAAATTAAGTTACTATATTGGGGGAAACCAGATTAATTAAGTAGATATATACACACCCATTATGGTAACTTAACTAAAGTTCCTTAACAGCAACCCAGGCTAAGCATTCCTGTGGGATGGCCAGATGGGGAAGACAGGCCCGTATTCTCTTTTGTTGGTGGCAAAGGCCGGGAGCTTTCACGCAATCATGCAAGGGGTCGGGGGGTATAATTTAGGACTATAGGGAATAAAAGAAAAGGGAAACTGCTACATTATAATAGGGTTATATAGGGGTTCTATAGGGATTATGGAAAAGAAGATGACAACTAGAATTTAGGGTAAGAGCCTAGTAAGAGCCTGGGTAGGGAAAAGCCCAGGTCTTAACCAGGTAACATCCCATCGGCTCTTATGATGACCCGTACAGGTAGCGCTGATATATGGTAACATGCCTATGTAGCCCCTAAACTGTCCTAAATCCTGGATTCCCAATCAGTACTACTTGCCTAGATAAGAAGAGTTAGGTGGACTGCAGCCCTCCTTTCCTTGATCAGGTGCATGGCACCGTCGAAACCGCCTTCAGACGAAGCAAGACATCAAAGCCGAAGGAGTTGCAACTCTAAAGATCTGTTGGGCAGCTTTGGATGGTGGCTCACAGGACCGCAAGGGATGATTATGCAATATATATATATACACACTATAGTAGTTTTCGTTTTCTTTTCCATTATCCCAATATAACCCCAATACATATCCTACATACTACAGTAGTTTCCATTCTCTTTTCCGTTATCCTTATATGTATCCCAATATATAGCCACTATAACCCTAATATTACCCCAATGAAGGACAGTGGTGTTTTGAGGTTTTTATGGCTTCTGTGAGCTGGGGATGTCCTGACATTGGACGGTCAAAATCCTATCCAAAGCAATGCGACAATAAACATGCTGACGGTTGTTAAGTCTTGCATGACGTTTTGGTTTACTCTTGTACCGCAATTACGAAAGATAGGGTGTACGGCTTATCAACCAAAGGTACCCATGCAGAGGCAGAGCTGAATGGAGACGGCTGAAGATTACTCGGAGGTGTGTGACAGGGCCCTAACTTGTGAAAGATGCCCACACGAAGCAAAGACAGCTTGATTTGGGTGTGGTGGGAATGTAAGACGCGCAGGCTTCTTGGAGGCAGTTGCCCCCTCCAGAAGGAACCTGACCCCTGGGCTACCACTCAAGGAAGGGTTACCAAAAATGGGAGTCAAGTTTTTGGGGGCCCTTGCAATGAAGAGCACAGTCTTTTGCGGGTATATGCTAACGGGGAGCCATTGCTATGGAGACGCCCCAGATCGGGGCAGGGTGAAATCGAAGAGGGGATTTGGGCAGTTCTGACCAGAAAAATGATCTTGGACTTTAATTGTAAGAAGAAGAGCAGATAGGCGCAGTAGTGGCTATTCCTGAGACTTCGGCCATGTGGTTGGAGAGCTTTGAATTTTGAAAAAGTCCTTGTTGCAAACTTTGCAATCGTCGCCCGACATACTGCGAGGAGTACTACAGTGAAGCTGGCGTCCTGATTTTTATCAACCCGGCCACCATGACAGATGCAGGGATTTACTTCACCAGCCTGGTCAGCGGGGCCGAAGCTCCAGCCATCATTTCCTTCACGCCCACCCGAGGCAAGCAAGACTATCAGCGGAATACAGCCATCGTGCTTCGAATCCTTTTGAGGGAGATTCCGCGGGTCATTACTCCGCTGAAAACTAGCCGGGCAGGATTTGCAGGTGCTGAGATGGAGGACAACGAAACAGTGCCGGCTGAGAGCATGAGCCAATCTATTTGTGGAAGCTTGTTTCTCGAAATGTGGACGACTCTTGCCAACTTGGAGGGGTAGTATGGATGTTACACGTTCCGGAGCGCATCCAAAGTAGGAGACTTTCCGAACATTGGGAATCCCCTTCGGGGGAGTCCTTAACAAACGACAAACTAAGGATTGTAGTATAGCATGATGGGATCTGATCTACATAGGAGCCCCCCTTTTATGTAAGCTGCCATATCTCAACGGCCTAGGAATGACGAAGCCGGATTTCCACTTCCGCGTGGCTGCTACTATGGCCCTCTATACACGGATGCCCCGCAATTTGGCGGTGCCACTCCAGCATCCTACCGTGAGTACTTCATTGAGTTTGACCCCAAGCATGCTTTGAGGGACACTAGGTGACAATTTGAATCAGCTTGCACTTGTAGGAGCTAATTTATTTCCAGAAATAGGGGCCGACTTGTACGCCTCAACAGATTATGATCTTTATTTTAGGGACCCATGGGGACCCACAAAAAACTCCTATCCCCTAGGATGATTTTTTTGTTCTTAGCGTAGTACAACCCAAGCAAATTTTCACCGTTTTTAAATTTTGGTTTGAGGGGATTACAGGACAGGGACGCCTTATTTTGAAAACTCCTGCATCCCACCAAAAGAAGCAGAAGCCTGTTCGTTGGTGGCATCCCAGAACCCTAAGCCCTAAACCCTAAACCCGAAGCCTTAAACCATAAATGGTCCAGGATGAGTGTTCCGGTGCAAATGGCCAGACAAGCTGCGTGTATCAACTGGTGCTGAGCATGAAGCTGGGTTGCTACCAAGGAACTTATAGCAAGTTACTACGATAGGGTTTAGGGGGTAAAAGGGTTGCTATCAAAGAACTTATATTAGGTTTCCCTTCAATAGGGAAGCCCCATTATCAAATAATAGGGTTTCCCTATTGTAGTAACTCAACACAAGTTCCTGATTATCTCCTATATATTTTTTCTGGCAACTTAAGTTAAGTGCTTAAACGCAACTCAGGAAAGTCCAGCAGGATGATTTTATACTGGCCCGCGAGATTTTGAGCCTCTACACCTACTGCTCCGGGAAAGCTGGGTATGCAACGGTCTGTGGACCTCGATACAGTATCATTGAGTATGGGCAGGTTGCTGTGAAAAAATGCTGTGCAAACCCTAAACCCCCCAAACCCTAAAGTCTGAGTATGGGCAGGTTTTCGCCACAACCCCGGTTTACCTGCCGGCGCCCAACACCACCAAACTGGGCCGTGCTGAGATCCTGCCTTTGGTGCCTGGGCTTGAGGTTTGACTTGCAAACTTGAGAGCCACTTCCTGGGTGCTTGGGAGTTCATAGGGCTAAAGGAGCTAGACGAAATTAACAACAAGTAAGAATGCCATGAATGAGGGATTCAAAGCCACGCTCCTCACCTGAACCCTGAACCTATAAATCCCTAACCGTTCCAATTGTCTCATGTTGGGAAGATGCACGAGTTGTCGAGATTCTAAGTCCTGTCTATATGCCGGCCCTTTGTGCTGAGGAGGCTCCGAGAGATCAGACTGTTGATCGCTTCCTCTCCTCGTTAGTACCAAGCACCAAATCTAATTCTTAAATCTTAAAGCCCTGAACCCGGCCATCAAAACCCTGAATCATACAACCCTTGAACCCATATATCCTGACCCTTAGCCCTAAACTTTACCCCAAACCTTAAGCCGCAACCCGGCCATATCCTGGCTCATCCCAAGATGGTTCTCAGGCAATTATGTTGGGAGTTAGGATGTAGGGACCATACAGAGGCCTTATATAACTAGGGTTCAGGGTTAAGGGATCAGGAATATGACTCCCCACGGTCCGTATATGCCGCTCATAAAAATTGTTACCGTTGGACAGTCTCCGCTATAATTAATCTTATAGGATCTTAGAACCCTGAATAGCCCATACAACTCATGAACCCCTACATCCTACACCCTAAACCTCGACTGGACCATATCCTAGATGGTAGTTTCCAAAAGAGGGGACCCTAGCATTGACACCGAAATACTATAGTCCTTATTAAAGGGATTTTCAAAATGGTGCCCCTACATTTGAGAAACCCCAGCCCCTCTATAATCACAGTTTCCATTTTGTTTTCCAGTTTCTTGTCCATTTGATTCTCCATCATTGGGATAACATCCCTAAATGATCCTGAAAGATTATAATCCGTAGTAAAGGGACCCCCCAAAATAGTACGCTTAATTTAAGGAAACCTCCAAATCATCCCAAAATCCTATAATCCTGAAGAGCCCAGGCCCAGGCAAGCTCCTTGACTTCCCGAGGTTTGCGGGCAGTCACTGGGCCCAACGCCTGCGGCAGAATATGGAATAGGAAACATAAACCTATGGCCTTGGGTTCTGGGATTTGGGGTAAAGAGTTAAGGCTTTTTGTAGGGCGCAGACTTAACGGTTGAGGCTTCGGAGCTTGAGGTTAGGTCTAATGTAGACCCCTGACTAATATGCCCCCTCCCCTTAGTAGGGATTATAATAGGGATCGTAATCTTAAGGCCCTTAAAAGGAGGGGGTTATTATTCATCATGGGTCTACATTATGCCGGCTTCTGTCACAAAAAAGAAAGCCTGACCGGTGTCGAAGTCTTAGCACCATATTCACAGCAAGACAAGCGAATCACTCATCGAACTGAACTGTTGACGTGTGAAATCTTGCATATATCCTTACTACCCACAGTGTTGGAATCCGGGTAGTATCGCACCCTCAGAGTCACACAGCACTTTGTCCATAAGCCTTGCACCCTGGACCCTACACACTCGAAAATCTCGACCCTCATACATACCCTAGAATCCCTAAATACCCCATTGTAGTAGTTTCCATCTTATTTTTCATTATCCCAATATACCCCCAAGTTCTGAAGTAGCTGCTTCCTGCTGCGCACAAACCCCTTGTCTTGGTCCTATTCGCCGCGGGCACTCTTAAGGAAGTGCTTTGTGGAGGAAGGCCTAGACCCTGAATAATGTAGTATAGCATAATCTGGTACAACATAGTACATTATAGTATATTATGGTATATTATAGTATATTATAGTATATTATAGTATACTATAGTATTTTACGGTATTCTATACCATAATTTATCATAATATACTATAATAATCTGATCTGGACCATTGCAGTGAGACGGCGGGAAAGGTGTGCTTTACACATGGAGCTTGACAACTTGCCCCATGCGTTTCGTGAGAGCCAAGGAGTCGCCGGAGTCTTGGGAAGAGGTCCTACAGTTGCAGGCTTCTTGGTCATGTATTACATTCCCTCACAGTGGTTTAGTGCTTAAGTCTTCCCAGAAGAGGGGGATTCTTACGATATACCGACCCCCAAACTAGACAGACACGAAGAACTCTTTGAGGAACTATTTTGTTTGGCACGTTTTGGCTTACTGAAGATGTAGGAGCCTGAATACTTACTATGGTGCTTCTAGATTCCTTGTATAATCATGGTATATGATGCCTCAAATAGACTTCAAAATGACATGAGCAATGTTTTGCTGACGGGTTCACTTACAACTGTGGGTTTTTGCAA